TGTATTCAGATAATACAATGATGCCAATTAAGCACAAACAGTCTTTGTTCTTTGAGCAAAGTATATTTTAATTCTTTTGATTTCAGGGTGAAATATGGCCTGCACATTTTCTTGGCAAGTTTCATGAGAGTCACCCATAGACAGACCCTGACGATACACAGCAGCACACACACAAACACACATGTATTCACACTCTAAATGGTTTTCTTGGCGTAGAGGCGCTTTTGGAGACGGGAGAACTCTTTAACGAGCTGCCGGCGTCAGGAGAGGATGGCGTACAGGGAGAGCGCAGAGTCTCCCGAGTCCTCGTATCGCACGAGGAGCCATGTCTCCAGGACAGTTCATCTGTTAGACCGGGCTAAAGGCTGCCGGGAGCTTCCTGCTGTTCTCTGACAGCCTGCTAAATAATTAGCTTCACCTCCACCAAACACCACGTTTCTCCCTGCATTACACTGCTGAGAATGAAATTTAAGTGTAAGCTCTTTCTGTTTTTTTGTAAGATTCACTCAAGCAGTCGATTCTACAACAATTTAACATTTTTATTGAGTTAAAAAAAATGGTTTACAAATCTGTAAAATCGATATGAGTACGTAACACGACAAAAAATATTTTAATTAAAAAAAATGTACATTAAAAACATCATAAATTAAATAATTTTCATATTTACATATTTCTTTAAATATGTAAACATGAGAAAAAAATGAATTCTACAAACATTTACATATATTTTCCATATAAATGTATATATAAAATGTACATATTTTTAATTACTTTTTAAAATACGTAAACTTTAGAAAAATATTTACATAATTTAAAAAGTACATGCAATTTTTTTATTTTAATATTTACATATTTTTGAGCTACATAAACATATTACAAATATTCACATTGCATGTAAATGTTTTGAAATGTAAACATTTTCAATATATACATATCTTTAAATATATGTAAATATGAGAAAAATATTAATACTTTAAAAAAGTTTAAATTTTTCATATCTAAATATTTTTTTTTAAGTATTTACATTTTTTTTTATATTTACATATTCTTTTAAAACATAAGTAAAAAAGATTATATTTAAATCTATATATGTAAATATGAAAAACTTAAAAAAAAAATGTACATATTCAAAAATATTTTTATGCATAAAAGTACAGCATGTCACAGCACACAGCATGTCAAGTATTACAAGTGAAGACATTTTGTATTATAATTACACTACGTACGCGATGCAACGGTGAAAGCAGCTTCAGTGTACCTCACACATGCTACAATGACATTTATTGGGGTTTTATGACAAATCATTATACCTCATGTCGTATATCATGCTTTTATAAGCTGGAGCTGGTGGATGCGTGTGTGAGTTATGTCAGCGCCCGTCCTGCAGGAGGATTTACTGCCCGGACAGATAATGTTTAAGGCAGACTTAATGGAATAGCTGGGGCAACAAGACAATTAGTATGACTTAAAATTAAGACATTTTCTCTGTGGTCAGTTTTATTAAAGCACTTAGGTAAAACCCAGAGGAGTTCACACACTTCAGACTGGCACAGCAGGACAATCTATAGCTAATACGCAGCTTGGGACGGCGGGAAATTACAACATGCTAGAAATGCTAACGCGATGCTGCTACAAGAAGCCGAAATAAGCTGATCTGAGAGTTTTGAACTTTGTCTGACTGCTGATGAGGTCAAGATTTAGATTATGGATGGTGTGGCGGTTATCAACTGGAGGACAGCTGCATATGGCATTTTGCATTGTTTCTTTTGTTTTTCTGACCATAGATAGTTAAAAGGATAGTTAACCCCAAAATGAAAACTGTCATCATTTATTCACCCTCATGTCGTTCCAAACATGTATGACTTTCTTTTGTGCTATAAGCATTCCAAGGTCACAAAACATAAAACAAAGCAAAATACATTAATAGTCCTGGATTTTTCTTAATGCAAAATATATATACTTTTGTTTAATTACTATAAATATAAACAATTGGATTCTATATATATATATATATATATATATACACACACACAATAACATTTTTGCATATATTATTTACATAATTTTATTTTATATTTTTGTATGAACTATAACTTTAAGATAGCAAACTAAACAGGCGTTTTATTAAAAAAAAAAAAAAAACTTTTCCCATTTTGTTGTTGATGTCAAAAGTTGTGCGTCCAATCAAACTCAGTATTTTGGCACAAATTCATTGCTCACTTGATACTACGAAAATTAAATTATGACAAAATGAATTTATGAAATTATGACAATGTCAACATGTAAAGATTGTGTGCCCACGTCCTCAATAACCATGAATAAAACTACGCAAAAATCAAAGAAAATACGACCAGGTTTTGGTTTCTTTGAACAACTATTATACAAAACGACAAATATTAAAATGTGAATCCGGTGAGTTCTCAAAACTAGTTGAGATTCACAGCTCTAGAT